TGCTCACGCTGGCTGCTGGCTACACACGGTAGCCCATGGCAACCCACTGCAGCAGGGGCTGCAGTCTACACCGTCACCGGTGACTCACGGCACCCCAGCTCCAGGTTGAGCTGTTGTTCAGCATCTTAGCTGTAGAGGGCAGTGTCACTGGCCCTCATATGTGGGATCCGAACCGGGGCCCTCTGACGTCCCAAGCCAGCTCTCAACCAATGCACCCCTCGGCCGGCCCACTCCATTCTTTTCTTACTTACATGGCTCCTGATGAGAAATTCTCTGTAATTCTTATCTTTATTTCTCTCTGAAGTATTACTCCATCCAGCTTCTATCAAGATTTTCTTTTCTTTGTGTTTTGTTTTATGCAGTGTGAATATATGATGTGCCTATGTGTAGATTTTTTCTTGGCACTTATCCTGCTTGGTATTTTCTGTATCTGTGGTTTGGTGCCTTTAATTAATTTTGGCATTTCTTGGCCATTATTACTTGAAATACTTTTTAAGCTCCATTCTGTCTTCTTTTTTGGTATTCCAGTTATGTGTATGATGCACCATTCAGCAGTGTCCTAGTTTTTTGATATTCTGTTTTCCTTTTTCTGTTTTCTCTTTGCATTTTAGTTTTAGAAGTTTCTGTGACTTGATCTTCAGGCTCACTGATTGTTTCCTAGGCTGTGTCCAATCTACTGATGAGCCCGTCAGTGGCAGTCTTCAGTTCTGTTACAGTGTTTCTGACATCTAGCATTTTCCTGTATCCTTTTGTATTATTCTTTAGAGTTTCCATTTCTCCTTACATTACACTATTCTTGCGTGTTGTCTAACTTTTCCATTAGAACCTTTCACATATTAATCATAGTTATTTTAAATCCTTGGTGTGATAATGCCAAAATCTGTATCATATCTGAGTTTAATTCTAATGCTTACCTTTTCTTTTCAAAGTGCCTTTTAGTGTTCCTTCTTATTTTTTGTTGAAAGCTATACATGGTGTATTAAGTAATAAGGTAAATAGGCCTTTATTGTTAACTTGGCCAGGAGTTGGTCTGTGTTAAATGTTTGCTAAAGCTGTAGGTGCCAGAGACATCAAATTTCTCTATGTCCTTGTTTTTTTCCTGTCCTTTTTTGGGGCATCTCAAAGAATTCTTCCTTAGTTGAAGTTTGTGTCTTTTTAAAAATTTCTTTCTTTTCTTTCTTTCTTTTCTTTCTTTCTTTTCTTTCTTTCTTTCTTTTCTCTCTTTCTTTCTTTCTTTCTTTCTTTCTTTCTTTCTTTCTTTCTTTCTTTCTTTCTTTCTTTCTTTCTTTTCTTTTCTTTTCTTTTCTTTTTTTTTCTTTTCTTTTCTTTTCTTCAAGTTTGTGTCTTCCAGCTCTTTTAGCTGTAATCTATTACTATTATACTGGAGCCCTGTTGGTGTTTGGTAAAGAATAGGGGAGGGGAAGCATTCTGTACTTTCATGATTCAGTCAAGGCCATTTAGTGGCCTGTGGCCCTGGGCTGTAACCTTTACAGGTGTTTCTTCCTACCATTGAAATGCCCTTGCCATTGACTGGCTCAAATAGCTTCTGCACTAGGTAAGCAGGTTTTGGTTCTGACTTTCTGAATTCACCTGTCTCTCCAGATTTCAGGGTGGTGATTTGCCTGGTAAACTCAGCTCTCTGTTATGTCCAAGAAAAGTTATTGATTTTGTTTGTTCAGCTTTTTGCTTATTGTAAGGACAGATGAGTGCCAAGCTCTTTACATGTTGGATCTGAAACCGAAAGCCCTAGAATTTCTTTTTTGTTTTTTAAAATTTATTTTTCAATTATAGTTGACAGACATTATTACATTAGTTTCAGGTGTACAACCTAGTGATTAGACATTTATATACCTTATGAAATGATCACCCTGATAAGTCTAGTACCCATCTAGCCTAGAATTTCTTTTGTATTGTGTTTTTGGTTTTCTTACTTTCACTTCTGAAGTTTCCACTGTAGTGATGAAGGCCAAAACTGGTACATGATTGTCATGTTAGGAGTAAAGGTAAAACTGTAGTTTTTATATTAACTGGTACTGAGAATGGGGCATATGAACAGATAGATGTTTCTGTTGGTGGATAGCTAGATTAATAAAAAGGTGTTTATCCTTCTATCTTTCTTATGAGTCCTGGAGGTTTTATAGGTAGCGCTAACTGAAAATATCAGGACACATGGTATACTGGCAAACTTTCCCTTAAAGAGCCAGATGGACAATGTCTTAGGTTCTGCAGGCCATACTGTCTCTGCTGCAGTTACTCAACTCTGCAGGTGTGGTGCAAGAGCAGTTATTCATAATACTTAAACTAATGAGTGTGACTGTGTTTCAATAAGTTTATTTAAAAATATGGGCTGTGAGCTGGATTTGACCTGTGGGCCATAGAATCCCTGGTTTAGATCAATGGTATTTATTTTCATTCCATAGCTCTGTCTAGTACTGATTATTAAGAGATGGTGGCCATATTTTATTTGCATATTTTCTATCATATTCAGCTATTGACCCATATTGAGATGAAGATTTTAATATATTAGTTAGAAGCGTTCCAAAAATCTTAAGGTTAAGAGGCGTGCTGGTCAAGGCTCATTTTATGGGTGTAAAAACTACTTTAAAATTGCCTTGAAAATGTGATTTTTTTTCACTCAGTATAATAAAAAATTCCCAACGATTGTGTAATGTATGAGTTTTTAAGTGAGTCCATTTTTATTAATCACTTAGGCATGACCAGTACTATAAAGGTGGATGGCGGCAGCATTGCCCAAGATCAGTAGATGGTAGGACCAGGGCTGCAGACTCACAGTGATCTGACTTCCAGGGCAAAGCTCTCTCAACACAGTATGTTGTATCACTCATGTCACCCGGAGGTTGTATCCATCATGTCACCTGAAGGTGGACTCAATGGATTGAAGAATAGCTTTCTTCAGAGTTCAGTTCCGGGGCATTATTCTTAGTAAGAAAAGTGCGATTTTGTTCATTATTTCAAATAACTCTGTGTTGGGCATTATTTGAATGTCTTTGGCAAGACAGGCAGAAATCGATGCCTGAGTTACCAAAATGAATCAGACAAGTGATTTTTGCATAAAAATTATAGAATATTTAAACTGGAAGAGATCTTAGAGACTGTTTAACTCAATTATCTAGAATTTCAGAGGCAGACAACCTGAGACTCAGAGAAACTCAGTGACTTGGGGGCCAGCGCAGTTTACTAAGAGGATGGGACTGGCAGACCTTAACAGCAGCATGCTAGAGCCTGCTTGGAGAGGCAGTGGGTACGTTTTCAGGAGGTTTTTTTTTTTTTTGAGCCAGTTGTTGAATAGATTTATGATTAAAAATTATATATAAACTCATAAATTGTATTAAAAACAAAAATGTGCTCAAAATGCATCACTTAACTAATTATTTTTTGATAGATTTCTATTATCTATGCTCTTGAGGTTATTTACATGTAGTGTATCTGTATGGTGGAGATGCTATGTAGTGGTGTCCTTACCCAACTCTTGTGTTCAGTGAAGTGACTTCGATAGCTTGAAAATGGCCACAAAGCAGTATTTACACCATAGAAACTGGCAAACTCTACAAATAACACACTCCCTACCCCTACCCCTGCCATGCCCTGAGCCAGTTGATTAATATTTACCAGTATATTGTTGGCCATGACTTCTGTGTTATGTACTTGTCTGTTTATGTGCTTGGCTTTGCTGCAAGACTGTGAGTTCCTTGAGGTTTGGAATTGCTATCCCTAGCACCCAGCACAGTGCTTGGCATATGTTGGCTGACAAATGTTTGTTGAGTGAATGAGTGAACTTGAAATTCATTCAGTCGTTGGTTCAAATCGTGGCTCAGTTACTTAACTCTCTGTGTGACCTCGGTTATTTTAACATCTGTTTATTAGTAAAATGAGGATAGTAACACCAACTTTGCATGATTGTTGTGAGGATAAATGAAAAGATCTAGATATCTGTTTGGTACATTGTAGGTGCAAAAAAGTAGTCTGCATTTATGATTCTAACCTAAGAAGAAGGAGACATAAATGCTGTCAGGGTCCGGACTTACATTGTATGCAGAGCTTTGTATTAAGTGTTTGACCACAAGCTGGAGGAGAGTCAAGAATGTGGCACTGTTATTTTTGTGTGTGTACATACTTCTCCTTCCCACACAAAATAATGGGATATATTAAAAGGAATATGATATATAAGAGGCAGGAAGCAATCCTTCTATTATATTTGGCTTTGTTCGTGCTCTTATTACAGTATCATGTCTAGTTTTACATTGCTTATTTTAAATAGGATGTCAAAAAACTGTATGTAGAGTATCCTGGGAAGAACCAACAACTATGATTAAAGGGATAGAAAATAGGTCCTTTGAGGCAAGTTTAAGGAATTGAGTTTGTTTATTCTGGAAAGGAGACGGTAAAGGAGTTCCTTAACTATCTTCAAGTACATGAAGGGTTATTATAAGGAGGATACTTGCACGCTGTTCTCCAAATGCACAGAGGACCAAAAGAGGAAATCTACTTATTTCCTTTAAAGAAAATTGTGTTAAACACTGAAATTGACTATCAAGGGATGTCATGGAATCTCCATTTTTGAAACTATTTAAAAAGAGCAGCAGCAGATGGTTATTTATTGAAAGGTTTAAATGTTTAACCTCGTAAAAGTAAAAGGCAGGATTGTAGACCTTGCAGCTTTTTCCACCTCTGTGATAGGATTTTTTTACATTTATTGTAACTTAGCAAGCATGTTCCAGATATCTTATTGGGAAAACCACTTACAATTTGATAAAATTATTATTTAGCTTGCATTGCAGCTTAATTGCTGGATTTATCTTGAATGAAAACATTTGGTGTTATTTGTCTGCTAGTAACGAACTTGAAGTCAGTTTGTATATAAAACAGTCCACATTTGCATTTTTAACACTACTAGGCATATAAGAATACTTAAGAGTATTCAGTAATAGTATTTTTTTTAAGCAGTGCGTTACAAATATCCTGTAAATCTTTTGTGACAGGGAATCCTGTTGGTATATGATATTACAAATTATCAAAGCTTTGAGAATTTAGAAGACTGGTACACTGTGGTGAAGAAAGTGAGCGAGGAATCAGAAACTCAGCCGCTGGTTGCCTTGGTGGGCAATAAAAGTAAGTTATTAATGTTTATGTATGTATGGTAAAGTTTGCTTGCCTACCCTATTGTTTTTATTCCTAAAACAAATTGATGTTTGGAAACATAAACAGACACAGCTTTCCTGGAGTGAGCAAATTGCTTGAGAAGAAAATTCCTAAAGATGTGTACGGTCTTTTCAATAATAGCCTTGATGCTTGATCTACCGTAACTGCTCTCCTGCTTTGGTCGATCCTGTTAAGGTGAGTTCTGTCCTGATGGTGTGTGTTTGGCTTCCTGAGTGTACGGAGGAGCATGCACTAGTAAGAAGAGCAGCGCAGCTGCAGAGCGTATGGGACTGCACTGCAGCTTCAGCCATGCCCCAGAGACTCGCAAGATACATTTCATTAAATGATTCCCTGTTCTCGTGAAGGAAGCAGTGTCTGCGTGGAATTTTGTGTGTGCTGTTCTTTGCTCTCCTGTCTTGTCAAATTCCTTTTCTGATTTTTTGAGGTTTGTCCTGAAATATAGATAACCTTTTTTTTTTTTTTTTTTTTTGAGAAAGCGTATATTACAATGGGGAGAGTAGTGCTTGGTAAACATGATGAATGGGTAATTTTTAACATCTGTCTTTTGGGCTATGATATATAGCGTATAAAAATTATAAGACTGAATACGGCACAAAACTGTTACTTGGTACATAATCCTGCAGTGCAGTTACTTGGAAAGGGAGTCCTTAATAAGGGTTTTCAGATATATAAAATATTATGATATGACCTAATCTTTTACAACTTACTTGCGGACAGAAAAAGAGAAAATGAATTCAAATTATACCATGGAGGATTTAGGTCAGGAACTGTTTCCTGACTACAAGCGTTGTTAAATCAATACCCAAGTATACTATCAAGAGAATTGTCTCCTCCAAAGGTCTTTAAAAGTACAGTGCATTTTTTTTTTGTCTGTAATTGTTTAGGAAATAGTACTTCCTGAAGGACTAAACCAAGATTTCTTCATTATGTGGTTTTGCACACTTAGATGAACATTTAATAAGTCCAAGCCTTACTTTAAAATCATTACTAAACAGATATGAATATCATTTCTCTAAAGAGTTAAAAATACAGATTTTATAATGCTTTTAGAAAACATTATTGCATATCACAAAATGGATGGCTTGGGTAAAAGATAATATATATATTTTTAAGCTTCAGTGAAATTTTGCTCATCTAGTTTGTAAATAATTTTAATTGAGTGAATCAGATGCTTTTAAATTCACTGAAATTCCCCTTTACAAATCATAAGTTTTGATGAGTTTAGGCTCTATTTCTAAGTGGAACTTTTCATTTTAGGAGATCATTTCTTGGTCGTTATGTTACCAAAGCATTGGCTTATTTTATGGTTAAATTTGTGTTTAATTTGAGGTTTCCCATCACCTTTTGGGAAATTATAGAGTAGGGAAGGCATGGGGGTTGGGATTTGTTTTCATTTCTTTCAGGATATAATCTAACGACCATCTGGAGTAATAGCGTAGTGGTGCATAATTATATACATTATGTGTTTATGCTGTCCTCTGAGGCATCTAGCATTGGTCACTGTCAAAGACAGGATAGTAGATAGACGGGTTATTGGACTGTGTTGTTTGTGCTATGCCTAGGTTAAAAAAAACATTTATATAAGCTACGTGAATTTATGCAAAAAATTATTGCAGTGTTATGTTTGAGATTTAATAGCATAAAACTCAAAGGAGTTTTTCACTTTTGGCTTAGCTCTGACGCCTTTCTTGTATTTATAATACTCTAAGAATGAGCTCACCTACTAGAGTATGCAGTCACACAGAATGTTATATATGTAAAATGAAGAGATTATAGATGAACATTTTCCTGACCCTTTACTGCATAATCTGTCACTAGCCCGATGTCATATGATCATGTAAAGAAAGATCTTACAATGTGTGTTTCCACGTTGATGTTACATTAGTATAGTAGCATGTATACATTTGCTTTTCTGGGGATATAATTATATTAAAAAGCACAGACTTTAAATACTGGTTAAAGACAAAGCAAAAAAAACATGATGGGAAGACATCTGAAACTGGATTATTCTCATTTTCTCCACATAATCATCTTCCGCCTAAATGTGCTTTTAAAAATCCACATTTTTTTTTTTAAAGATTTTATTGGTGAATTGAGGGAAGGGAACAGCGCTGGGGAATCGGGGGGAAGGGGAACAGACAAGTTGCTGTCCTGTTGTTCTTCAGTCTAGTTGTGGAGGACGTTGCTTCACTGGCTCATGTTGGTATTAACATTGCACTCTTCCCAGGTGAGGCAAATCGGTTGCCGGCCTCTGGACGGCCGCTCATGGCAGCTCTTGGCAGCTTAACAGCGGCTGCTGGTCGCTCATGCTGGCTGCAGGCCACACACGGGAGCTTATGGCAGCCCACTGTAGCAGGGGCTTCAGCCTATGCTGTCATCGGCGACTCATGGCAGCCCAGCTCCAGGTCGAGCTGTTGTTCAGCATCTTAGCTGTAGAGGGCAGTGTCACTGGCCCTCATGTGGGATCCGAACCGGGGCTCTGCTGCTCAGAGCCGGCGTCCCAAGCCAGCTCTTAACCAACGTGCCACTTGGTCGGCCATAAAAATCCACATTTTTAAATCCACATTTTAAAATGTGGAGTTTTAATTTATGTCCTATGTTCTAATAGAGATATTCATTGTGTCCTATTCTTTGCCACTTGAATAGAAAGCATATGTTGAAAAGAAATATGTGGAGGCTGTGAATATATTGGCAGCAGTAGCCAGCTTTTAGCCAAAGTTTAGTACAAGGATAGAGAGAAAATTTCCATACAAAGTATTTGTGAATTTTTTCCATAGTAAGAGCTTATAATTAGTAAGTTATAAAATCATTTGCTTTTTATTAAAATATAGTAAACTCTCAGAAATTTGGGCCGAGGATCGAGGATAGTCATAGGTAAGGGTGAATGATGGGTTTACTTTTGTAAAAAAAAAAAAAAAAAAGGGTTTTTTTTTTTTTTTTTTTTAAATAACAGGAATAACTACAGTAGGTTAGTGAAATAGCCAGCAGAGGAAGGGACTTGCTTTAATGACATAGACAAAATTGGTGATTAGTAAATCAATTATTTCAGTATATGATACTTAGAAGAAATGTATTAGATTTATTTTATTCTATGTTCTATTCTGAAAGGTTTTAAGAGACTAGTTAGTATTCTTTATACTAATTAAACTTTAAATTAAGTATTGAGTTGTGCGATTAAGATCATTGAACTTTGAATTTAGACAGACTTTGCTTATGAGCCCAGTTGTTTCACTTAACAGCATTGTGATGTCAGACAAGCTACTTAAGGCCTCAATTTCCTCATCTGTAAGAAAGGGTAATAGCTCCTGTCTGATAACGTTGGTTTAAAGATTAAATGAGATATTACATGAAAAGCACTTAGCATGTGGTCTTATACAATGTAAGTGCTCAATAACTATTAGTTATTATTATTAATTATAGTAGCTTTTTAAAAGCACTGACTATACCTTCAATTAGAATGATAACAAATTATAAATTAATAAAGTTGAAATAGATGTTTTACAAAAAATGGCCTGGAGGAAATGGTTTCTAGAGAATTCCTTTGTCACCATCTTATTCCTTGTTTTGTTCCAGATTGACAGTCCTCACACCATGTGTGGGGTCGGGCAATTCATTCAGCATTCTTGAGTGCCAGCCCTGTGTATTCAGCGGGCCATTGTTAATTTGCACAAAGGGAGAGCCAGAGAGGCTGCTGAAGGAGTGATGATTGGACTTGCTAACCTAGGTCTAAGTTTTATCTTTTTCTCTACTCAAATTCTCTAAAAATTTGACAACCTTTTTTTTTTTGCTGTGTTTGGTTGTTGAGATGAATGAATACCGTTATGTCCTAATCTTCATAGAAGGCCCTACTTGGCAAAAATAAATCCTGCTAGGTAAGTTTCAAAATGAGAAAGTGCTTAAGTCATTTCCTTATTCCATGTATTTTCTGGGAAGCTCTGTTGAAGTTTGAGGATGTCTACAGCCCCATGTGGAATAAGATGTCTGACGGGCTACAGTTTCGCCCACATAAGCACATGGAAGCACTTGTATCACCATCTAGGGCGACTTCTGCAGTTCAGGGAGCCACATCCAGCAGGCCTCATACTTGGTTTCCTGGCCTTGCAGGTAAATTATTGGGACTTAGGTAGAGCCTTGGGATTTTGTTTTCAATTTATGCCCATTTCTGGGCTTAGCATGTCCAGGTGGACCTGGCCGTGGCCTAACACACCACCACCACCTCTCATGTGAACCGTTGAGTAGCCTCATTACCGTTGGTCCTGCTCCTAGCTTTGCTCTTCTACAATCCAGTTCCCAAATGGGAAGTCATAATGTATGACCCTTCTGCTTAAAACCCTCTAGTGCTTTCTCATCACACTTAGAATGAAATCCAAACTCCTTATCCAAGTTTACCAAGTACTGTGTGATCTCAAACCTCATCTTCTATGTGCTCCTCTGCCCACTATATGCGTAAGGCACATTTGTCTCTTTTCCATTCCTAAAACATTCCAAGTTAATTTATATCTTAGGGTTTTCTGTGCTAGAAAGGCTTTTCCTTCTGGTCTTTTTTCTTGGGTGGTTCCATTTTGTCATTTGGATCTCATCTTAAATGTCATCTCCTCAGAGTTGCTTTCCTCAACCACTCAATCTAGTTCCTTTCTGCCAGGGCATTCTGTTTTTGTTATCTGCATGGTCTCAATGCTGTCTGATATTGTTTCTTGTCTGTCTCCCTCCACTAAAAATCTAAGCTCTGTGAAAGCTAAGGACCTCATCACTTAGAACAGTGCTTGAATGAGTGAATACTGAATGAATGAATAAAAGCCTTTTCATGAAGACTGTTGAAATTGAAAGTGTTTATGGCCTGGGACATGCTATTCAGGGAAAATGGTCTTCTTAATGAGGAAAAATACATATGTAGGTAGATACAAGGAATCTGTTAGATGGCCTTCAGGCCCAATGGCGTACTGAATTCC